GTAGGTTCGTTTCGTCATGGTATCGGGTACGTGGTTTAATTTACTATATGTATTCATAGATGCTGTCTATTGATGTTTTTCATAAAATGTTTNCTATTTTATTGATTTTTAAATATTTGTTTGAATTTTTCCAACTTCTTTAGGAGATATACGTGTGGTATGTGTTCTTCCATCATCAGGGGTTGGCTCGCGATCTTCTTCATGGAAGGTTAGAATTATCCCAACTTATTATTTAGTCTTATATTTATGATCCCGCTAGGTTTATGATTTCTTATATAAATATATGAATGATTGTTTATAGTATTAGGGTTTAGTCCACTTTTATGTATTTTTTACTTTTGTTAGATTTTTCCTCTTCATCTTTGTATGTATGAGTTGTGCTTCTCTGTTGTTCAGTGTGTTTGTTGTTTATATTCAGTTACTGATACAATTTTATTTTTCATTCTATTAGATGTATATGAGCAATAATCCACCTATGAATTTTGTTACTCTCATCATTTCTCTTTTTGTTTGGATTTTTCTGGGAATTACACAATAACTTTCTAAGAACTCTATATATATATATATAGACCTTATTCTTCTCTTTCTCAAAAAAATAGAGTCTTTTTATTTTAGGTTTTAAATTAGTTGCTTATCGTTTTTGCTTTTGTTTGATATTATTGCTGATTTTTATTTATATTGTCAAAATATTTTATGTTGATCGTTTTGATTTTGTTTTTCTTGGTTTTGTTTCATGCGGAAGAAGATATCTTTCATAGAAAAGAGAAAGAGGAACTATCTTAGGTTAGTTTTTTTGTTTATAAGCTTGATGTTTGTGCAACACGTAACCGATAGAGATTATTGGTAGAAGCTGCCTTGATTAANTTAATCATGTATTGGTGGAGANGAAGGGATGNTGAGCTTATGGATAATTCAACGAGTTTCTATANATTGTTCACTGAGATTAGTTCGTTTTGCAATGACTTTACAATAATATCAAGTTACTAACGATTTTTTTNTTNGTNANTTCGTATTCTTTTTCATAGTTTTTAATCATCGTTTTGTTTCTGTTTTGTTAGAATTTAGATGTTTTATACAACTTTCAAGATTTTCAAGAGACTTTATCTCACAAACCTCTCATGCGTTCNAAATATATTTGTTGGGACATAAATGATTTTACATCCGGACCCAGGTAAAACCTATGGTTCCATTTTTATTTTTTGAAAAAATCCATTCAATGTATCTTCGTTTCTTTCTATGGTTACTTCACTTCGTTGTTCAATGTCACGTTAACCAAACAATTGATCTACTTCTCATGTTTGTTTAGGTTAACTAAACCATTATTTTCGATTCTTGGTTGCTTCATGAATATATTATGAATTGATGTACTGATCGTTTTTATACTAAAGTCACTGGATGATAGGATGCTGAAAAGTGGAGGTTGGAGAGCCGAAAGAGTTATACAAAGAGAGTTAAAATACTACAAGCTGGAAGGGATGCATGAGTTTCTGCAAATTGTTAGAGGTTCAAATCATATAACCGGTTACAAGTCGAGAACATGAGTAGCCGAACAAGGATTTAAGTATAAACATCTTTGAATATGAATACCAAGTTAGTGTCATGTAGCATTCTTAGGTTTAATTATCTATTATTTGATGTTTAATTCCTCAGCTTAGCTCAACGTTCAAGGACATTCATGAGAATAACAATGATCAAACACAAATTAAGGTATGATTTCTAATCATTATTGCCAACACATATGAACACGTTTTGGGATTGCGGTGTTGGTTAATAACCAAAAATGGAAAGAAAAATAAATGCGAAGAACAAGAAGACTAACGATGAGGAGAGCTTCAAATACGTGAGCATGAAACAACAAATAAAGATTGTGAAATAATTTGCTGTTAAGAGCAAATAATAATAAAGAAGAAAATCGTATAACTTTTTTTAGATCATTTTGTTGTTCCTCGGATTGTAGTAGTTTCTTTTGAGAAATCTACACATGATTTCTAATTAAATTTACAAAACAAACCACTTCATTCGTAGTTTATTAAAATACTTTTTGAGCTCTTTTTAATATAATTAGGTTATTAATTTCTTAACTATAATTCTTTGTTGATTCATGTGTACTTTGATTTACAGGTGTTGAGTGATTTGTTATTTAATTATGTAGTCTGATGATTTTAAAATTAGAAACCCTTCCATATCCTGAGTTTATCAAAATTAGCGCATGTATAACGAACCCAAATCACGTCACGGGTCTCATGCGTGTGTATTTTATATGCTGTCATGGTGTAAAACTTCATTTTTTGTCATTATGTTTGTTACATAGAAATCTTTTATGAAGCGTAATTCAATATTGATAACATAACCGTTCTCTATAAAACTAATATTAAATTATACCAATGGTTTTTTTTCTTTTTTCTTAAATCTTGATTTTCTCTTGGTTCAATAAGAGACTCTAGACTGTAGTACTAGAATGAGTAATATACTTAACCATACATGAGTTTTCATTCAGTAGTACTAGAAGGAGTAATACACTTTCCCATACATGAGTTTTAATTCAGCGATCAAACAAAGGACAATGAAATATATCGTGTTAGACAAGGTAACAAGAACAACCAACCGAGGGATGAGTAACCATGGTAAGCAAGACTAGGGAGACCACAAGGACGAATGAGCTTACGNCTATCNCAATAGCTTTCTTAAAATGTAGATAAACTTCAAAGCTGATCAATAACATGATTCATTAACTTTAGGGATTTTTAAGAGACCTAGATGACTTGATATAATTATATCTACATGTCTCGATATTAATTTGAAATCGTATCCTTCATGTCAGAATGAGATTTCATAAAAAAAGTTTTTTTATATTGTTTTGCCGTCAACTACCCACACATGCATAACTTATATGAAAGTTGACACTTGAAATTACATTTTTAAGGTTAATGAGTTTTAAATAAGATTTAGTGGTTGGGCATAACAAATTTTGGATTTGATGTTTGGATTTTCGGCCCTATAATATGATTTTGTGAAACCTAATTTTTCATGTTTCAATTGTATCATTTATACTATTATTTACAAATTCAATTTTTGAACTAAAGTTTCCATGTTGAAATTGTGACCTAAATTATTATATTAATCTTAATGATATGTTAAGCTTAGCAATTTTTGTTCACTAAAGACCATAGTTTTTTGTGTCTAACAGGCGAGGAAAAAACATATCTTAGTTTTGATAGTATTGAGACTTCTGATTCGAGCAAATTATCTCGGTTGCCTAACTATAGTCTTCGGTTAAAT